ACTCATTCCCAGCTAGCATCAAAGAAGGAAATTCTCTTGAGAGAGAATCTTGTGAAACCAAAGGAGAGAGAGTGTTGCTAAGAAGTATGAAAGGTAGTAGCTCTGTGCTTTATCCTCGTGACAAGGCTGCATGCCGTATCCATCTATAGAATCCAGAAAAAAAAAATGGTTATCGTGAAATACATATGAGCACATTTATTTGAACTGAAAAACAAAGCCAGACTTTTCCTGAGAGTCTAACTTGGCTGACTGGTTTATAGTGCCAATAATGGATGTTAGACAAGTTACATCTTTAGTTCTTTCATTTTTAGGGAAAAGCACTTAAAGCACATAAGGATGAACATTTCATCAATTAATGTATTGGCAAGCATGTATTGAAATTAATATTTGTATCTTTGCAACCCTCCCCCCTTTTTTTTTTTGACTTACCAGGTTACATGAGATATCTCCAAGTGAAAGAGTAAAGGTTATATTAGAGTAGAACACACTGTGCCACCATAGCACATTAACCCTGTGTGTCAGTCAGAGAAGCACAACCAAAATTATTATTAATTTTTTTTAACAAGGAGTTGACCTCATGTAATTGTCAAATCTAGTAAAGTAATCTGTGTAAGGTGATTCTCTTTGTAGTTGATGCTAGATCTTCACATCTGCAGGGCAGACAGTCAGGAGGGAAAGACGGATGTAAGGTGGGGAAGAGCAACCATTAGCCAAACTGCAGTCCATGAGGACAGACGAACCCTGTGTCCATTCTGATTGCCCCTGACCTTGGTGGTATGGATGTCCCACAGGCTGGAGCCCTTGGTCCCAGAGGAGGCACACACCTGCCCAGGAACTAGAGAAGCCGAAGGAGGCTCTAGGAGAACATGGGAACTTGAGTGCAGATCCAGCCATTCTTCACACCAAAGAGGCAAGTGAGCAGACAGGTCAGTGGGCGTGTGTACAGGCTACAGAATGACTACGGTTTCACGTCTACCCTCCAGAGTCCCGCACACATCTGTCTTGTGGCTCACCCTGATCAGAAACGTAGAGGAACAGGATTCAGGGAAATGCAGTTCAGCTGAGTCAAGCTGACGCATTACTAAATTTCCACACCCTGGAAACTTAGTGGCTTTATATACATATCTTGTTCATGCAAGGTCTAATGGAGTCAGCTAGTCCTCCGTCTTACAGTTACACCATCTGGAATTCATGGTCTCCTGTATTGCTAGGGCAGAGGGGAAGCTTACCAGCTGTTAACTGCTCCCTTGTCATTGGTCAGTGCCTAATCTCATGGCCCCAAGAAGCCGCAAGGGAGACTGAGTTTGGGGAACACAAAGAAATTTTGGTAGATGAGCTGTGCTACTCAGGTGCAATTCATATTCATCTAGTATATCTTGGTAGAGACTTTTTGTTATGCTTCCCAGATATTAAGAAAGTGAATTTCTCCAGTGATTATACAAAAAAATTATTTTACTAGTCAGGTGGTTTCTAATACTTCGCTCTCAAAAAACTGAAGGAGAACTCAATGGAGTTTTAATGATAATTTAAAATAACTTTGCTGACAGATCACTGTGTAATATTTGACATAATAACTTGGAAAGAATCGAAAAAGTTGTGTAACATTGCTGAGACAATGTTCATTCTCGTATTAATAAGTCGTCTTAGTACTAACATCTATAAAAATAAGACCTAAAAATAAATTTGATGCTGAACCCTGTCTCATTCTAGGAACAGATAATATTCATGTGTGGATATGCAAACTTATTTTTTTAAATTGTTGATTTAAAAGACGTTCTAATAAAATTCTGTTTATGTTTAATCATTATTTATCAACATGTTAACGTACTTACTATTTGACCAATTGCATTTAATGATAATTATAATGATAATTTAATCCAGAAAGATCTTTTTGCTAATATTTCAAGCCTATGATAGCAGAAAGTACAAATTATAACACAGCATGCAGAAAAGAAGTATGACAAGGTGATCAATAAAACACTTTCAAGCATAAAAATAGGATAAAAATCTCTGGGGAAAATGGAATGGAAATACGAGTTCAGGGAGGAAAAAAGTGATATAAAATTTCCTCCTATTAGAAGAGCTTATTCATGTATATTTTTAAAGGATGATGATATAAAATTGTTATTTAAATTTCATTGAGAAGAGAAATGGTACAATTTTTAAATGTCAGTACCCTGAAAATTATATTCTTTTCAACTATTTAAATTTTTGCTGAAAATTTTAAATATCAGTTTAAGAAATGAGTAATTACATAATGTTTTAAAATTCTTTTGCGGTTACACAAGCAAAAAGGGTTAAAGATGACTACTCTAGATCACTGTGGTGACTGCAGAAAGGGCCCTGGTACCCCAGGTACCAGAGTCTAAAGTCTGTGATCTTGAACAAGGCTAGCAAGACCGGACGTCTGCCAAGAAGTCCTTGGCCTAGATGTGAAAGAATTGGAAATAATATCGTTCCTCAGTAATAACCGAAGACATACCAGTTGAAATGACCCTCAGATAACCCCTCTATTTGCCCCGCTTCCAACTCTCTGATGAGCTGCATGGTGGGCTACCCACCCTGGCACTGAAGGCTGTTAGCAGTCTAACTCCAGGACACCTTTCCAACCTCATTTCTCACTGCTTTCCCAGACTTTGTGGTCCGGCTCCTCACATTCCCCTGAGCAGACTGTGGTCCCTCATAGTTCTGTGCTTGCCCATTGGTCTCTCCTGCATTTCTTCTCCCAGGCTGGGGAGGAGGGGGTGGGTACCTGCAAATGAGGTACAAAGATGAGAGCCAGCCAGAGTGCAGGCGGTGCAGAATTCTGCAACTTTGATATGAACTTTTGTGCCAGAGCCTGCCCCAGCTTCTTCTGCAGGCTCTAAGCAGCTTTGAGGGTACAAAATATTAAGAAGTTTATCCGAAGGAATATCCTAAGTTCTGAGGAAGCAGACCAGCAGAGAACAGGTAAAGAAGGATGAAGTTATATAGGGATTTCCTGATGAACTCTTTATCCCCCTGTTCTGTGGAAGAACAGAGAGTTTTCATGACCTAAGTTTCAGTCATGAATCCCAAGGAGTTTTGCTTGTGTATTCAAGTAGGGTCCGTTGTTGGTGACCTTATTCTGTTCCCTCCCACCTGAATGGGAGTGTTGTATGCCTGCCTTCCGCCTCTTTTCTCTCTGCTAGAGGAGCCTTATTACTAGCTGGGGCTCAGAATTATTAAACTGGGAGCAAACGGTATGCTCAAGGAGCCTGATGTAGGTAACAGGATGTCAAAGTGGGACCTTTCAGTCTGGAGTTTCAGCAGTGGCCTCAAAGGTACAATAGGTGCCATTTTCATGCACAGTCCTAAATGAAGTTTGGAAGGCCTGTGAAGAAGGTTGTCAAAAAACCAGTTCTGCCAGCTAATCAGCCCGTCCTCCACTTTGAAGGTGGAGAGGCTTGGAGACTGCTCAGAGATGGGAGAAGATTTAGAGAATTTTTCCCTCCCAGTGCTGCCCCATTGCACGTCAAGGGCCCTTCAGGGACCACTCAGAGAGACTGATACATGTTCCCTGGAGTTGGGAGACTTGGACACTGGTTCCTCATCTGTGTCTGAAAAAGTGAGTGTATAGGCCAAAGGCTGAGTGGGAGCCGCCTGTGGCCACAGAAGGGAAATACTTGTCTTGGGAAGGGCTTGGACTTCCAAAGTTCTGAGGGGCAAAGATGTAAAATTTGTTGGGGGGCCAGCTATCGATTCCACAAAAAGATTGTCCTGAAATAGTTGCTGACCAAGAGGACTGTCTGGAGGGTCAGGGTGATCTGAACAGGTGTGCCTTGAGAGGGCAGTACACCACAGGACGCCAGACTGAGAGGAGAGGGGTTAGGGGTGGCTAGCCAGAGGAGTCTCTCTCATCTGAGAGTAACAGGAACCCACAAAGTGCCCCATGAGAGAAGATACTAGCATTTGACATGACACACCTGGGAGATACAGGTGCCAGATTATAACTGAGCAAGTCAAGACTTACTCCCCTGTCTCAGCCTGGGTTCCCCAGAAGCAGACCCTGAGTCAAGGATACTGACTGTGCAGGAGCTTTATTAAGAAGTGCCCGCAGGAGAAACCCATTGAGCGTGGGGAGAAGTTGTGCTCTCGGGAGGAGAGAGAGGAGTTTGAGCTGCAGGCCGATCCTGTGGGTGCTCCAGAATGTAAGTTTGTCCTCAGAGTTCGTCCTGACTTGAGGGGAAGGAACTGGGCTTTCCCAGCCCTAGATCAGTCAGTCAGCCCCCAGGCACTCCTGGCTCCGTGCTTCAGGCAAAGCTTCACCAGTCGGAGGGCTGTCCTCCAAAGTGAGTGGCTGGTGTGGGCCTTTACAAAGGAAAGCACACAGAAGCCAGGGGAGGAGGTCAAAGGAATCCGGGCCGGAGCACTAACAGTGTCTGCTGCAGATCATCCCACACGCTGCTCAGATCTGCTTATATTTTACATTAAATCCACCTCATCACAACTTCTTCGAGACTAGGAGAAAATTTAGAAGAGGAACGTTAGAGGCATGAGCTGCAGCCTCCACTGCTATAGTTAGTCCCGAAGCTATGAATAATAATTTGTCATCTTCCTTTCTCTGTGTTCTAGATTTCCTCCCTCACCCTTGACCGTAATGCTTGTGCTGTTCATGGTGACTTGTCTTGAAGGATGTCCCAAACCTCCATCCCTGAGAGGTCTGAGGCTCTGGATACCCATGCCGTTCATCGTCACAGCTGGCCTGGGAGTCCAAGGGCTCACAGAGCTGATACCTCTGAGGGAACATGCATGGCTCCCAGGCCCAGGCGAGCTGTACCAAGTCCTGCTCTACCTCTTTTCCACAACGATGCATCGCATCTGCGGATCTTCTGAGTCTTCCATTTCCGTTTCTGTCTCATTTCATTTCTGCAGCCTCAGTGTATCCGTGTTAGTCTCCTGTGGCGGCCACAAACTTGGTGGCTTGAAACAACAGAAATTTATCCTCTCTCAGTTCTGTAGGCCAGAAGTCTGAAATCAAGGTGTGGGCAGGACCGTGTTCCTTCAAAGATTCGAAGGGAGGTTCCTTTCCTCTTTTTTTTTTTTCTTTTTCATCCATTTTTTTAATTGTGGTAAGATACATGTACATCAAATTATCATTTTAACCATTTTTAAGTGTACAATTCAGTGGTATTAAGTGCATTCACTTTGTTGTGCAACCATCGCCACCATCTATCACTAAAACTTTTTCCAAACTGAAATTCCACAGCAGTCCTCCCCCAGCTCCTGGCAACCACCATTCTGCTTTCCATCTCCATGAATTTGGCTACTCTAGGTACCTCATGAAGTAGAATCATACATTATTTGTCCTTTTGAGACTAGCTTGTTCACTTAGTGTATCTTAAAGGTTCATCCACGTTGTAGCATGAGTCAGAAGTCCTTCCTTTTTAAGGCAGGACTTAAAATAAAAGGCAGGAATAAATAATATTCTATTGTATGTATATGCCATGGTTTTGGGGGACTTATGGGGTTTTCTGTTTTTTGGGGGGGGGGAATCAAACCATTTTATTGAGGAGCTTCAGGGTAGGGTCGAAGAGCTGGGAGGACAATTAGATCTGACAGCCTCGTCCGGCCAGGATCTCTTTAGTTTCAAACTCGCTGGAAGTATGCTGTGTTTTTGTTTATCCATTCTCCCATTGATGGACACTTGGGTTGCTTCCACCTTGTGGCTGTTGTGAATAATGCTGCCAGGAACATGTGGATACAAATATCCCTGAAGTCCCTGCTTTCAGTTTTTTGGGTGTATACTCAGAAGTGGAACTGCTGGGTCACTTGATAATCTTATTTTAATTGTTTGAGGAACTGCCATACGTTTTCCTGTAGCAGCTGGACCATTTTACATTCCCACAAGCAATGTACAAGGGTTCCAATTTCTCCACATCCTCACCAACAGCTGTTATTTCCTGTG